AGAAATGCTGGAATTTCAAGTTATACATCCTTGAAGATACGTCCATGAAACTAAAACACTTAGTAAATTCTGAGCATTTTCAAGTTAGAATTTGGTTACAACTTCTGGGCGAGTTTTTCATGTAGATTCAGTCAGAGTTTGAAAGAGGTCCAAAGAAGGTCTACAAAGCATGTTGCAAGCTTTCTGTACAGTCTAAGAACTTCTTCAAAACATGCTGGAGCAGGGAGATTCAAAGATTAGAAGTTGGATATTTGTTCTAAGTTACGTTGATGCTAAATTTCTGATCCAGACTTAAGCTATGATGCATAATCTCATATTGAAGGTTTACTGTTTTGATAAATCTCATCATCATTTAATGCTCACACCCACTTTTGAGTCTTTATCCAAAGGACTTCCCCACGTGTGGCATAGAAGTACCATTGTTGTCCTTGAAAAGCAAAATTTTGTACAATGGTTATGCTGGGCCCATGGTTTACTTTTGCTTTTGAGGGTACTTTTCCATAAATCATGCTTACAAATTCAGATTAACCACGACTAAAAGATGCTAACCACCCTACTTTGTTCCTTGAACAATACTTGTTTAAACTTGCTTCAAGAACAAGTCAGCGCCCTAGCATATGATGGTTGTACTCTTGACTTCTCCAAGCTCCTAAATCCTTGCCTACAAATTGAACTTAATTTGCAACTATTAAAGAGGTCGAGAATTTGAGGAAAAAGCCTTGAAACTTTGTTGAAATTTCAAAGAACTTAAAACTACAAACATAAACATAAAAACTTACTAATTTCTTATTTTTGCATCCAAGCTCTAATTTTCCTTGTGCATTTCCTGACCAAATCACCCACACAGTTTCCGATATACATTTAGAAATATCTTAACTTCTGTTTACATACATTAGTACAATCTCCACCAACCTCCATTTCAAAAATCAAACTTTGCTCCTTGGCTGCTCCAGAACATTACAGCCATTCATAACTCAAGTTGAGGTTTGCTTTGGCTTTCTGGGAACATGAGAAAGTTGACCAGAAAATCACAGCAATCCGAATCAGGATTTAGTTCACATAATATTTTCTAGTTGTAAGGTAAGCTTCTGCTGACTTTTATCACATTACTTAGGCATTGTTAAGCTTGCACTTTTAAAATACAATGTAGACATCATGACTTTGATTATGTACATATTCATAGATTTCATGTATTTTTTTGCCTAAGTAGAGGGAGTTTCAGTTCAGAACTTCTTGAGGAAATTACGATTCAGAATTAGGATTAGTAAAATTCATGCTTGCTATATTTACAATTCTGATACTTTATATTTCTGAAACCATAATGAAATATGCCATAATTTCTATGTTTGCATTCTACATTTTTGTTGAGGAATAACTAAGTTGCAGATGCTCTGGTTGGCATGGAGAAGGAGATGAAGTTCATCATCGGAACTTACTTTGTAATATATGTGTTGTACCCCAAAATTTTCCCTCCCATAATCTTCAAAGTTATGACAAGCAAATGATTCAAAGTCTACTCAAGGGCTGCACAGTCAACCACTCTCCCAGGCCAGTCAAATTAGGGTTTTGGTTCTTGCAAGGAAGTTGAGGTTTCCAAGGGCTCAATCAAGTCACATATGCTCATATACATTTTCAAGCACCTACATGTCAAGTTTCAAGGCTCACAAGGTCAAGTTGCACAGTCAAAAGTCCCATTTGCTCAACAGTCAACTGTAGGGGCAAAATGGTCATTTGGCAGTCAAAAGTCAAAAATTTTGGTCAACATCTTATTTTGAAGCCACAATCATCATTTGATCAAGTCTTGATCATGATTTCACAAGAATGGCTCAAAAATCATCAAGGTGTCAAAAGTTTCTATTTTTGGACAGTTGAAAAGTCAACTGTAACTTGACCAAGGCATAACTTTTTCATGGTTCATCAGAAAAATCCCATCCAATGCTCATATTGAAGGGGAGGACATTTCCTACAACTCATGTTCACATTCCAAGTCCAAGAAATGCTCTCACAAAAAGTTATCAATTTCAACATTATAGGTCATTTTCAAAAGTCAACAAAAGGGACTTTAAGTCAAAGACCATAACTTGAGATTGGTAAATCAAAATGACATGGGACCAAATACATTGGTTAGAGGACTTCAAGACCTTTCCAAAATGTCCAAAAACATGTTCATAGCTTCAAAATTGAGCAAGATATGCATTGGAGAAGTTGGGAAATGTTTGTGAAATGGCCAAAGTCAATTATCCTTGAAACTTCATTTTTGACAAAAGGGGCCCACTTTTTCCACTTGTTTCAGCTTGGCCATGCTTCCCACGTGTCCCACAATTTATTTCAAGATTTAAAATTAATTTTTCCATTTTTATTTAATTTTATTTGATTTAATTCATTTTAAATCTTTAAAATTCAAATAAAAATCAAAGAAATTAATGGAGGGATATATTTTGTGTTGATTAGCTTTGATACACCTTGAAATACCTTCCAAATTCGTGCAAGGCCAATTATGGGCATAAAAATTCAAATTTTGACAAGAATGGCAAGTTGCTTTAATGGAGGTTATGGAAAAATCTCAAGCATAATTGCAAGGCTTAAAAGCTCCTTAATGTGACTGATTCTCATCCAAGCCTATATATACAAGCCTTGCAAACCTCATTCAAAAAAAGAGTGTGTGCAGAAACGGCCAAGAGCAAAACCAAAAATTATTCAAAAAGTGAGAGTTCTAAAACATAGTTGCGAGCATCTTCAGATCAAAACAAGCACGTGGTTCTATTCCTTGCCACACCCTGAAGCTAAAGCAACCTTTGCCGAGTCCTGAGGCTCATACCACGCTGTAAGTTATTCCCAGGTCCCCTATAATTTCCATATTATTTTTTCAATTGCTTTCATGCGCAGATTCTCAAAAGAGGAACACTATAAACCTCATATCCCAGCGCTCCAAGTGTACATGGATGCAGATCTAAAGGTCCAGAAGGCTAGCACACCATACCCTGGAGTCAGCGCATGCGTAGGCGATCCAAGAAAGTCAAACGAGCTGAAGCTTAATGGGCCATAATTCCAACAATGCACCCTCCATTTCAGTCCACACCCTCCTTGACTTTTTTCTTATGTTGATTTCAGTCCACACCCCAATTTTTGACCTAAAATCCCATTTTTATTTTTGCATTTTTTTTAAGATAAGTCAAGGTCACGAAATACGGTCGGTTTTAATGTCTCACCTTCGAGCTTTGACTATGCGAAGATTGTCAAGTGTTTTGAACAATTTTTAGCCTATGTATCACTAATTTCTAATCGCATACAAAGGTGTATGTTCATGGTTTCTTTTGTTTCATGTGCAGAAACAGGTCTGAATCAAGAGCATCAGGTGTCGCGCCTCAATTAAGGTTTTGAGTCCCCCAAGACAAAAGTACGGTTGATTGTGGATTCTCGAAGACTGATTCATCAAGGCACAACTGTTGCACCCTAAATTTCGCCCCTAATATGTTTTAGTCGCACTTTCATATCATATTTTGTTATTTGGTCACAATCATTAGTAAATATCTTCATTCATCACATTTTGCATCATTAGTCGTATTTAAGTTGACCAGAAAAGTCAGTTTAAATCAAAGTTTGCATCGTCTTTCAGTTGTAAAATACCCGACATTTCACTTCATTCATTTTTATCTGTTTACTATTTTCTTGCACTGCTCCAAGTTGTTTATATGTCGATAATAAAATATTTCGGTTTTATAGACAGACTGTTAAAAGCGATTCGACACTATGCGGGAAAGAAGCGAGAAAATATTTCAAGTTTTCACCTTTTACCGATCATTTTATGAATCTGCGCTTCGCGTAGATTATGACGGTATGCTCGCTTTATTTTTTCGGTACAGTTCGAAGTCTCGTTTTTAACCTTAAATGTCTGTTTAGTCTGATATTTTTATTATTATTTTATTTTTGATTTTTGACTTCTTGAATATTTTTTCTTTAATCTTTGTGACATGTAGATTATTTTAATGTGTTCATTTTATTTTTTCGGATAAATTTTCGTCCGTTTTTTTTATCATTTTCGGTCATTTTGGGTCTTTATTTTTTATTCATAAAATATTCAAAAAAATCATTTTAAATTGAGTTAATTTTAATACATTTAGTTCTTTTGGTTATTTTTATCATTTAAGGACTTTTTGGTCACAAAAAATATTAATTAGGCTTTGCTTAATTCTCATTGGTTGATAGCATGATTTGCGGATTGATAGAGATTGAATTTATATTGAACGGCTTGGATTTATTTTGAAATCATAATATTCCTTTTCATTCTCTCTTTTACTCACACAAAAACAAAAAGCTACTCCCATTCCTCTCAAGCAAACACCATCCGCCAACCTTTTACTGTAAACCACTCACAAACCATCTCCAATCTACCTTTCCCTCTCTTCCTCACCAATTACACAAACACAAAACAAAAGAACCAATAATCCACCCATCACCATCCCATTATGCAGTACATAATCTCTGCATCTATTCTTCCTCACATCATACAACCCAACATTCATCATTTTCCCACTACGGTCATCTTCTATCAACAACTCACAGGTTCCCATCCCAAACTCACTCATCACTGATGCTTGTATAATGGAAATGGTCAATTCCTGTGATGACAGACATTGTTCCAATGTAGCTGAACAACCTCAACCCATTCTTACTCGTGCCACTAAACTTCACCATTTCCATATTTGAATATGTAAACCCATTACTAGCATCATATTAAAAATCTGAAATAGAACAAGAAAACCAAAGTATCTTAGCCTCCGTTACCTCACATCACTAACCGTCCGCCGCTGTTACTTAACAGTAACTCCCGTCCTCTTCAACACGCCGCCGCTCTCATCCCTCTCCGCCATACCTCTATTTCGTCACCTTCTTCTTTGCCATTACGCTTGGATTCTTTGCTCATCAGTTGATTCTGTACTCACTTCAAACGCGTTGCATCCTTCTCTGCTCATCTCCGATCCGTTCAACTCAAGACCTCCATGAGACCATCGTCTGGCTTCATCGTCTGGTTCTCACGCTTCCAAATCAACCTCTCTCCTTCAAGCACGATTCACTCGGTTTTCCTTCCGATTCTGCAGCGTTGTGGCATCGATTGCTTAAACAACGCCGTCGCTTCAAACTCAGCGGCTCCGTCCCGTATTTGTCGTTTCTGTTTGCTCATCTACAATCATCTTCACATATCAACATGCGAGCTTGCTCAGCAGATTGAGAAGGTTATGCGGGAACTTGGAGACTATCTAGGTGTTAAGGTGCATGCTTGTGTGGGAGGTACAAGTGTTCGTGAAGATCAACGCATTATGTCAAGTGGTGTCCATGTTGTGGTTGGTACTCCCGGTCGTGTGTTTGATATGCTGCGCAGACAATCTCTTCACCCGGATTACATCAAGATGTTTGTGTTGGATGAGGCTGATGAAATGCTCTCTCGTGGTTTCAAAGATCAGATCTATGATATCTTTCAGCTGCTGCCCGGTAAGATTCAAGTAGGAGTTTTCTCTACTACAATGCCACTCGAGGCACTTGAAATCACAAGGAAGTTTATGAACAAACCTGTGAGGATCCTTGTGAAGCGGGACGAGCTCACCTTGGAGGGTATTAAGAAGTTTTATGTCAATGTTGAGAAAGAGGAATTGAAGCTGGACACACTCTGTGATCTTTACGAGACATTAGCAATCACTCAGAGTGTCATTTTTGTTAACACTATAAGGAAAGTTGATTGGTTGACCGACAAGATGCGAAGCCGAGACCATACAGTCTCAGCTACTCACGGAGACATGGATCAGAACACCAGGGACATTATTATGCGTGAATTCTGTTCTGGATCTTCTCGTGTTTTGATAACTACTGATCTTTTGGCACGTGGTATTGATGTCCAACAAGTGTCTCTGGTTATCAATTTTGATCTTCCTACGCAGCCTGAGAACTATCTCCATCGTATTGGTCGTAGTGGAAGGTTTGGTAGAAAAGGTGTTGCCATTAACTTTGTCAATAAGGAAGATGAATCAATGCTACAGGATATCCAGAAGTTTTACAATGTGTTAGTTGAGGAGCTGCCATCAAATGTCGCTGAGCTCCTCTGATGAGATTTTGCCCGCCATATTAGACGCAAATTAGTCACCTTTGGTGGGCAGCAAGGATAGTCTCTGTCCACTTGATAAGTTAGAGACCACGCGGAAGAAGATGAAAGTGCCTACTGAGCTGCATGTCATTGATGGTGGTGATCACTCTTTTAAGATTGGTAAGAAGCATCTACAAGCAAACAATTCCACCCAGACTGATGCTGAAGTTGCTGCTATGAAGGCCGTTGCTGCTTTCATTTCCAGATTCCTTGAAGGTTGATTCTACAGTGTAGCAAGGTTTGTGTTATTGTATATACACTCTGCTGTATCTAGATTTGCAGTTATCTAGGTCTTGTTCTTGCAAGTGGGCTGTAATTTTATTTTGGGTGATTTGGTCAAGTAATTTTTGCTAGCGAAGTAGACATGTATGAATTTTTTGTTCTGGCAGTTTTAGAAACCTACTTGGTGAGAATGGGGGTTTGTTTAACTTAAAAAAAAATATAAAAAAATATTAGTAAACCTTATATTTAGATTTAGTTTAGTATTAATTTAGATTTTTTTTAATTAGTTTAGATTTATTTTATAACTTTAAAATATTTAGAATCATAATTAATAACTTTAGAAATTTATTTTGTTTTAGTTTTATTTTATAACTTTAGAATTTTATTTCATTTAGTAAATTTTAGAATTTTATTTGTTTTAGTTTAGTTTAATAACTTTAGAATTTTATTTGATTTTATTTAAGTTAACTTTAGAATTTTATTTGTTTAGTTTTAGTTTAGTGACTTTAGAATTTTTATTTGATTTAGAATTAGTTTAATAAATTTATAATTTTTATTTGATTTAGAATTAGTTTAATAAGTTTATAATTTTTATTTAGTTTAATAACTTTAGAGTTTTTATTTGATTTAAATTTAGTTTAGTAGTTTTAGAATTTTATTTGATTTAGATTTAGTTTAGTAACTTTGGAATTTTCATTTGTTTTAGATTTAATTTAGTAACCTTAGGATTTTAATTTAATCTAGATTTAACTTACTAAATTTTAAAACTTTAGTTTAGTTTAGATCAAATTCAATAATACTAGATTTTTTTTATAACCTTAGAATTTGTAATTAGTTTAGAATTATTTTAGTAAGTAATTTTTAATTTAGTTCGAATAACTTCTTTAGATAATTAGTTATATTCCTTTTATTTGTATATTTCTGTCATTTCAATTTCTCGGTGCCTCTTGATCATTAATTTGCTTTTGTCAGATTTATTTTCTTGTGAACTTCTGAATGTTTATATTTTGATGTTCATTTTATTTTGCTTACCCCAAGGAAAATATTTAAATTTTGTTGACTTCACGTCATCAAATACATCTCATCCGATTGCGCGAACCCCTTCATTCATTTTTTTTGCTTGGTTACTATTTTGCTAAACTCAAGATAATTTTCCCAAAAGACCCCATTTTCAAACTCATACCTTTTAAGTCAAAACTTCGACATTAGGTTATCACATCTTCAAAACCTCGCCAACACCTATTTTTAGCCAAGCGAACCATTTTAATCAAACAAACAATTTTAACCAAAAAACAGATATTTCAAAAGGTTCCTGCGGAGTACCGCAGATGCATTGGGTGCTAATACCTTCCCATTGTATAACCAACCCCCGAACTCTCGATCTCTTTCAAAAAACGCATTGTATTTTTATTACTTTTAAGTATTATTTTACATTGCATATTTTAGGGTTTTATTTCGCTCTTTTCCCTTTTCCCTTGGAAATAATAAAGCGCGGTGGCGACTCTTGCTTTTGTGAGTCAAGTTAATTAATAGCCTGATCTCCGATTTTCACCGCTACAGAATTGGCGACTCTGCTGGGGAAAGATTGACCTCTTGCTGGTCCATCCCTGAGTGGGTTAAGCCTAATTTGTTTTATCTGTTTTATCATTATTTGATTGTTTGATTATATGTATATATTATGATTATTTGGGTGTTGATAATATTTACAAAGGACAAGTCCTATACCCGGACTAAGTTACACTTAGGAATAGGACGGGCGATATAGTCATGTTAACTTTGAGGGAGTAATCCCGAAGAAGGAGGCATGAGATCCCCCACTCAGTGGAAGGCCCTTTTGAATGTAATATTTATTTACCGAGTAATCGGGAAGACATTATTATTTTCGACCTGGGAGCCAGAGAAGCTGGGAACCGTAGAACCATAACCCATCTTGGCCTTTTAGGAGTAGCGCGGAGATTATAACGGAGTAATCCGGAAGTAATTGTTACGCGATGCTACGCTCGGATGAGTTTCTCTTGAGAATATTGCTGATTATTGAGTAATCAAGACGTTGGTAATATCCGAAGGAGGAATGTAGACTCCGGGAACTCTTAGAACCTTGTTCTACAGGTGTGATTAAACCGTTAGTACATACCTTGGGGGTGTTCCTTACCTTGACTCCATGCTCGTGACGTTGAACCTTTCGACTCTATTTGTGACCTTGCTTGTGGTTGTTGCATAGCCATGCATTCATGCATCCATAAAACCCCTTTCACTTGACTTTGAAGGAATTTGGAAGTTTTTCTTTGTAAATACCACAAGTTTTGTCAAGCTCAATGGATCTTGGGTGTTGATAGGGCGAAAACCCTAATCCACCAAAATGGATGATTGATCTTGATGATAACTTGATCAATGTTTGGAGCCAATTTAAAATTCATCTTCTATCTTCATACTTTGATGTTTACAACTTAATATCTGGATCTCCTTGAAAGTCAGATAAAAACTCTCTTTTGCATATCATGCATCATTCTACATTTTTTGTTTCACTTTCAAAGGTCTTTTTCCAAGTCTTATTTTTCCTTTGGTCTCACCAGTACAACACTGACGCTAAGAGAACAATGGGGAATATCAAGCAAGAGGTTTCTGAACTCCGTAGAGAGATGACTAATTTGAAAGCTAGTGTGGAGCGCTTAACTGGTTTGGTTGAAATTCTGGTTGCCGCCCAAGTCAATCCTTCTAGGAGGGACGAAGCGATGATAAAAGTCTTCACTGAAACTCTAAAATCATTCTCTCATGAGAAGGTAATGGTTAATGCACCTAATGACTTTCCTGACAAGGTGAATATGGGAGTGCGTCTAGAAGAGGATGTTGGGAAGGGATATTCATATGAAGATGGTAGCTCAACTAATGGTGTGGAGAAGTTTGATAACAACTTTTCCAAGAAGAGAACCAGAGGAAGAAATAATCATCATCAGAATCATCATGTTTCTCCTATTCATCAACAGAATCAGCAAGTCCCTAATCAGAGGAAAACCCAGTTTGATCCAATTCCAATTACCTATACAGAGTTGTTCCCTATCCTGATGCAGAGGAATTTGGTTCAGACCCGACCTCCACCGAAGGTTCCTGAGAAGATACATTGGTACTACAAAGCTGATTTGACTTGTACCTTTCATCAAGGTGCTCCTGGGCATGACTTGGAGGGTTTCTTTGCTTTGAAGATTGAGGTTCAGAAGTTGGTCAGAAGTGGTATCTTGTCATTCAAGGACGTTGGTTTTGAAGTTCAAATCAAGCATGCGCCGAAGAGTAAACACGATTGATAGTGACCGTGATTTTTGAAGGATGTTTTCGATAATTCAAGTCCAGAGGGAAAGCCTTCCCAGATTATTAACTTATTTATGCTTTTTGTAATTTTTCTTGTTTATCAAAACATTGTTTGCATGTAAGAACTTGTTTGCATCTGAATGATTATCTTAATACAATGAGTATGTTTGTCTTGAAGAAATTCATTCGTTTCACTCATATTTGTTTTCAAATTTTAAATTGCTTTTGCACTATGATACCAAATTGTTGCTCATTCTCTTGCCTATGCAGAGATTGAGGGGAGGATGATGATCTAAAGAACACAAAATCTCTGGTTGTTTGCTTTTGGATAAAATCTTGCTGATGATGTACATGCATTGTTTCAAATCCCTAAACACCGGAGATATAAGGAAAATAATCCCTTGCTAACCCCTTTTGAGCCTTTGAAGCAGAAGTTTCTTTTCTATACGAAAAAACCTTGAATTTTAACCTGGGGCAGGGTAGTTTTTAGTTAATCTGACTGAGTGTTCAAAATTCATAAGGAAGATGTTTTTTGAAGAGAAACTACGAGGGCTATCCTTCATGTATAATGAATATAGAGGATGTGGAACCACAATGTTATCCCTCATTCATCAAGAAACGAGGCAATCACAATCCTCTCAACAAGAAAAGACAAGCTAATGTCACACATTTTGTTCAAAAAGTCAAAAATCGAGAAAAAGAAAAGCCTGCTAAGTCAAAAAACATGAAAACGCGTGACTTAGGTAAAATTAAGGCATCCCGCTGGACTATCAATTCAAAAGAATTAGTTCAGGAAAAAGTTAGGGAAAATAAAAATTGCAAAGAAAAGGACTACAAAGAAAAGTCCTCAGCAAAGAGCAAATTGGTGACTACAAACACGAAGACATGAGGGTGGTTTCTACTCCGAAAGCCTCATCGTTTCCTTGACCGTCACAAAATCCTTTTGAGAGATGAACACTCATGTTGAATTAACTGAACATAGGGTTGGAGAACATCATGAAGAATGGGTGGGCACCAAATATTTTGAGCCTTAAAATCTTTTTTCTAAAAAACCATGAACCAGACCACATTACAACCTTCAAAAGTCCTAATTGAAGCAAGGTTATTTTGAAAGCATACTTCAATGAGATAGTGTTCCTGACTCCCATGAATGTTCTAAATAGTTATGTTGGTATCATATGTTTTTCCTATACAAAAATAAATGGTGCTTTAACTCGCAAAATTTGTGCGATATCTTTCAAAATCTTCAAGACTTACATAACTGTTGCATTAGAACTTTCATTCTCATTGTAAACTTTTTCTAACTGCAAAATATTTGTTTGATATCAAGGAAGCTCACATAAGCACCAGTGATGAGCTTATTCTTTTAAGGCCTGAAACTATGTTGAGTAATTGGCGGATCACGTCAAGAAAAATCATATCCATGGGCATGTCACC